GGGGCTATCCTGGCCCTCTCCCTTCCTGATCTTGACTCTCTCATTCAGGCACGGAGCTTAAAAGCCACCACTTCTCCAACACCAACAGGCAGGTGATTTTTCTTCAGTGGCTTGCGTTCGATGAAGTCAGCTCTGACTCACGGAAGCCAACACGGGAATTAAATTTTGTTATACTTTAGGAAGGCCCTGGACACCAAGGTTGCCAGCCTCCAGGTGGTGGCTGGAGTTCTCCAGGGATTACAACTGACCTCCAGGCGACAGAGATCAGATCACCTGGAGAAAATGGCCACTTCGGAAGGTGGACTCTGTATGGCATTATGCCCCAGTGAAGCCCCTCCCCTCCCCACCCCAAACCCCGCCCTTTTCAGGCTCCACCCCCAAAATCTCCAGGTATTTTCCAACCCGGAGCTGGCAACCTTATTGGACACCCATTTTATTTTGGTGCTACAAAGTAGCACAGCTACCGACCTTTAATTATCAATACTTTTCTGGGTTTGAAGGGTCTCCTCTGGAATTTCCCCCCCAGGAACAGCCATGCAGTAGTCTCTTTTAGGGAGGAACTCACAAGGTGCTGAGTTAGCCTCACCCGGTCTGAAAGGGCAAAGGTTTGGTGCCCCCCTTAGAACCTTGTCTGTGTCCTTAAGACTGCCACACCGCTCATCTACACAAGAGTGATAAGAAGGCACTGAGTGGACCTCCGGTCAGACACTGATGGCAAAGGGGATGCTGGAGCTGGAATGGATGCAATAGAATTTATCTGCAGACTGTTCCACATAAACATCGCAAAGGAGTACAGGGTGGGTCCACACTGTTCGGACAACGACCATCTACCACAGCTACAGAGATTAAAAAGTGCCCTTTGCCATAGCTTCGGAATGAGCTCCTGCCTGCGTTATGCCAAACTTGGCCCAAGTTCCTTCTCCACTTTCTAGCAGTTGACCCAACACTTGTGTTATCCGTGGCTTGTGACACCAAGGTGTTGAGTGAAACCTTATCTAGTGGACAATGACCACTGAGAGAAGCCATGCCAAGGAGCCGGGAAAAGGTCTTCATTTCAAAAGGACTGCCACAAGAATGACATCAGGCAACATCTCCAAGGGAACCCTGAAAACCAACAAGACTGATGATCCTCCGGGGTCATGCTGTCCACCTTTGCAGGGGGTACGTTGCTGGTGGGCTCCACGGTAGCAGCGGACTTTCAGATTCCCCGTTTACCAAACCTCTCTTCAAGCATGTAAGACACGGTCTGTGTAGACCTGAATCATTTGTGGGCTCAGACATATCCTGAGCAATGCTCCCTCTTAGCTGTGGAGTCTTGTGAGCAAAAATTCTACTTTGTAAGCTACTGGCATTAAAGTTGTGAGCGAGCGATTTGGCTGCTGCAAACTTAACGTTTGCTCTGGAGCCATCCTTCCTGAGCTGAGACAAAAATGTGTGAGCCAGAGGTTTAAAAACTGTGAGCTAGCTCACACTAACTCAGGTTAGAGGGAACACTGATCCTGAGACAGCTCCACGTTTGCCACAGAGGCCACGAAGTCCTGAGCCACTCCATGGACAGCAAATCCATGGTGGACATCGAAGTCCACCTCTACCAACAACTGTGAAGTCTCCAGTACTGGCAAGACCTCCTCAATTCAGGCCACAAAGTAAAACCAGAGTCCTTGGATGTAGCTTCTCCATTGAGGGGGGGGGGAACCCTGTTCATTTCAAGAATACATAGAAGACCATTACAAATCACAGAAAGTGTCAAATGCACACCAGATGGTGAAGGCTAGAGAGCCTGGGATCTTCCTGGCCTTGACAGGAAGAGAAAATCGGCACGAGCCAGCTGGCCGCAGAACTCGTTATCTGAGTCACAGCAATCTTTTGACTTTTGGTTTATAGCAACAGATCTCAAAATGGTGAAGCAAGTTTCCCTAGGAAGCATAGCCAGTTGCCAGAGATGCCAAGTGTTTATCCGCTTGGTCTTAGTTTTATACGGGACACTGACTCCGTCGTATGCATACGCATTCCACCCTTCCTTGTGAATTCTGAAGGTGATATAAAGTGTGGAATTCCCATGGACTTTAAAAAGAAATTAAGCAAGTTTCCAGCCTTTAAGCCTCCCCCCCCCTCCCCAAGGCCTCTCAGCAACTGGTAAGATGGCAGAAAGAGGGGACGAAAGGGATGACCATCTGAGAAGAATTTGGGGTTTCGGTCTTCTGTGCAGCACTCTGTCTCTTCTTTGGATTCATTTATCTAGTACGGGGTCCCCAACGTGGCGCCCACAGACACTTTTCACTGTGTCTGCCAAGTGTTTTTAGGAGGTCGGCAGGGGTCGGGTGAGGCTTTTGCCCAGCAAGGTTCCTGCTCGGCCATTGGAGGTTTGATCAGCTGTGCAGCTTTTTAAAAATATTACTTTGGGATCAGCTGCTAGCACCGAACAAGGATCTTCAGCGTGTAACTAGCTGCGGTAGCCATTTTGTGGCTGGCTCTGCCTCCTGCGGCAGCCATTTTGAGGCAGCTGTGTTGTGGCGGTGCCCATCACACTGTGTCAGAATGCCAAAGGTGCCCCCAGGAGAAAAAAAGTTGGTGATCCCAGATCTGGTACCTCTAATCCAAATCAGATATATAGACCACGGGTTCCCTTGGCAAGCTAAGCACTGCCTGCCCCTGGAAGGATTAGGACAGTGCCTGTGACACCAGCTGTCCCCTTGCGTACTGCCCTAACTACAGTTTATTCACGGCTTGCTAAATCAATATATACACAGGCAAGCATGCGCTAGCCACATACCAATGTAGACTGGCAATTGCAGAATCGTACTTTCCTTGGTGCAGAATCAATAATAGTGCCAATAAATAGTTTTGGTGACTAAGGGCAGCCTAGGTGCCATGCCCAGGCAAAATATACTTAATTCTGCCTCTACTGAAGATAAGAAGAGATTGTATTTATACCCCGCCCTTCACCACCCAAAAAAGCCTCAGAGCGGCTTACAATCTCCTTTCCCTTCCCCTCCCCACAACAGACACCCTGTGAGGAAGGTGGGGCTCAGAAAGCTCTTTCAAGAACTGCCCTTCAGAGAACAGCTCTGAGAGAACTGTGACTGACCCAAGGTCACACCAGCAGCTGCATGTGCGGGAGTGGGGAATCAAACCCGATTCTCCCAGATTAGAGTCCGCACGCCTAACCGCTACACCAAGCCGTACAGCTCTCACGAGTGAATAAGATTTCCTTCGTTCATTTGTGACTATTTAAGTGATGCAGATTCCTCTGAAAGTCATGCGAGAAATGGGGAGCTGCAAGTTCCTGGCAGAGCTGGGACTTGGATCCCAGGCATCTCGGTCTCAATGCAACACTTAACCAAACAAAAACAAGGATGGGCAACAGCTCCAGTGCAGACTGACTGACTGATTTACAAATGCAACCGGTTAAACCCATTTCACGTGCCTGCTGGTTCAAAGCAGGTGATAGAACAGCAGGTGGGGAAAGGAAGAGGGTCATCTTGAGAAAGACTTAACTCTTGGACAGAGCTGCTGTCTTTTTCTCCAACTGGCTCCAGGCTCTGGAAAGAAAGGGCAGGAGCTAAGCCTAGCAAGACTATCTACACGGTGGAAAACACCCAGGCCAAAAGGACAGAACACGGAGGGAGGCAAGGTCCAGTGCAGACTGGAATTTAAGGTGATGACAGGACAGCAGCCACTCCCTGCTCTGCTGGAGCCAGGCCGAGAATCAGCCTGAAACAGAAGGGGGGGGGGAAGAGTCCGAGAGGTCAGAACTTAGTGTTTCTTTGGATCCCAGCTGTGTTCCAAAGAATTTCTGGAGTCCCCTTGATGGGTGACCAAGAACAGCGGATAAACTAAATCCAAAAACGGCTTGTCTGCTACTATCAATGTCGCAGCACTAGGGGTGTGAATTCGGTATTTACTGAGCCAAAGAAATACCCGATAAACACCTTATTAGTATTTTTCGGGTATTTCCTAAACCGAATTGAATTCTCTAATCTTTAATTGGCTACCAATATCGAGAGTCCCAATAAAAGCCGATCTTGGTCTGCTTTTATTCAGCTTGGCACGGCAATACCGAATGGCAGCTTCTCCTGGCCCACAGTTTAAGCTGCAGGGCAGGAAGTGGTGGCAGCTACAAGCATGGATGGCTTCAAAAGGGAATTAGATAAGCATATGGAGCAGAGGTCCATCAGTGGCTATTAGCCACAAGGTATAGATAGGGACTCTGGGGCAAGTGATGCTCTGTCATCTTGGTGCTTGGGGGGGGGGGTCAACAGTGGGAGGGCTTCTAATGTCCTGGCCCCACTGGTGGACCTCCTGATGGCACTGGTATTTCTGGCCACTGTGGGATACAGAGTGTTGGACTGGATGGGCCTTTGGCCTGATCCAACATTGGCATCTCTTATGTTCTTATGTTCTTAAAAGCCTCACGTATCTAAAGGGATGATCCTTTATTTTGCAAGCCATGGCGTGAGTTTAAATGCTGAGCTGAAAAATTCGGCAATCCCGATTATTTCTCGAATCCCAATATCATACCTATACTGGGATTCCAGAATATCGGAGAATACTGATATTTTTCGGGTTCAATACACACGATCCCAAAATATACCATTTTTATGTGTGTGTGTACACCCCTATCCTGCACAGTGCACAGCCACAACAAAATAGTGGTTGTGTTCTAGGATTTGCCCTCATATGGGGCTGCATCTAGGCCTGACTGGCACCTTGTGCAAATCAAATATACATCATAGCTAGGGTTGCCAGCACCGGGTTGGGAAATTCCTGGAGATTTGGGGAGTGCATCCAATAGTTTTCATGGAGTATTCATTGGTGTCCCATGGGTTTCGCGATTTACAGACACCGTTCACTCCATCCCACCCAGAATGGTCACATTCTTAGAGAAATGCAAGCAAGAAAGAGACCGAGGAAAGTAAATCGAAATGCAAACTCTAACCATTCCATCAGTTCTTCCCACTACATCCTTCAGCTTTGTCGTACTGCAGATTCTTGCTCACCTGCATGGTAGGCTACAGATCCTCTGCTCCAGCCAGGATGCCGGTTTTTCGGGTAGTCCTACGGCAAGAAAGAGAGAGAACAAGGCATTTCATGGAACACTGCTATCTAACCACCCAGGATTCCTTCAACAAACAAGGATCAAGTTGTTAATTTGTGATTTTTAAAAGTGGAGTCTGCAAACTAACCATCAAGCTAGACAAGGAGGAGGAGGTGCCCTCCAGTTGCAACTGACTTATGGAGACTCCAATCCCAGGGTGTTCCAGGCAAAGGGAGGAGCAGAGGTAGTCTGCCATTGCCTTCCTCTGCACAGCAACCCCGGTCTTCCTTAGTGGTCTCCCATCCAAGTATTAACCAGGGCCAATCCTGTTTAGCTCCCAAACTCCAATAAATTCGGGTCAAGCCAGGCTATCTTGGCTGCCCAAGCTACCGAAGGCACTTATTTTCTTCACAATGCCAGGACACGGTCTTAGGAACACAGCATGGCATTTGAAGGGACCAATTCCCTTCATTCAAGGTTAATTATTTCAGGGATTAGACACGCAAAACCTGCAAGCAAAACCTGCTAGCGAGAAGAGGAATGAAAGCCCTTCCTGGATCTACTAAAAGGGGCTTTATTGCTCTGGAATACGGTCCCAGGTTCCATCCACAGTCCAAAGGAGCAATGTGAGCCTTGGTGACCTGGGGAAGTCAACACGGATTTGCCCCTAACAGATCCTGCCAGACCAACCCTCATTTCCTTCTTTGATTGAGAAACGAGCTTACTGGATTGAGGGAGTGCTGTTGATTTTGTTTACTTGGATTTCAGTAAAGCTTTTGACAGGGTTCCCCGTAACGTTCTGATGAGTAAACTCAGGGGTCATTTCGTAGAAAAAGAGGTGCAGGAGCTCATTAGCATAACTCATTCGCATAACTTATTTGCATATGCCACACCCCCTGACATCACCGGAAGTGTGTCAGAAGGCAACACCCACCACTCAGGTGCCACTGGACTGTTTTGGATTGCTAGCTATGGGG